ACAGTGTTTGCAGTGTTCTTGTCGTGTGAAGAAGCGCTGTCTGGATATCTGCCTGAAACCTTGTCAACCTGTATTTGGATTTGTGTTCTCCCCTTGCCCTTGTGGATTCTTTTGGACTCAGCCACTGATAGTAAGTGCGCTCGCCTTTGGTTAATAAATCTTTGAACTATACCTGCCAGTCATGTGTTCTTCGTTTGGGTCCTCCAACCTGCCTCTCCACACTCTGTAACTCTGAACTGTAACACATTCATCATGAGCTGAACTCAAAGATCTTAGAATTTCTCTATGTACACAAAAGACCTATTGCTCTCAAATATTGTTCATTAATCTGTCAAAATCCGTGTCAGTGAGCACTTCTCCTTTTCCCAGATAATCCATCCACCTCACAGGTGTGGCATATCAAGATGCTGATCAGACAGCATGGGGATTGCACAGGTGTGCCTTAGGCTGGTCACAATAAAAGGCCTTAGGCTGGCCACAATAAAAGGCCACTCGAAAATGTGCAGTGTGATTGTAAATTGCGTGTGCATTCTAAAATATTGCACGTGCAATTGTATGGGTGATTAACTAAGAATTAGATGACAACAGGAGCAAACACAATGGAGGCGGCAGTATTTAAATGAGGGGTTTGTGTGTTTCAATGGTTTCTGCTATGGAGAGTCGGGAGGGAAAGCAGCTACAGCGTAAAAATCATTCAGTGCGTCCTGAGTATGTAAGTACTTGGGACAGCAGATCGTGCTTCATCCAGCCAGAGGGAACAATCACCGACCGTCCACACCGTGCCCGATTGCCCCAGTCCCTCTCTGATGTCTCACAATGGGTGTGTTGCTATTACACCAGTGATCCATGCACTACTGCAGCTGGGGGCTCTCCACAGCGGCACGCAACTTTCTAAATTCTTCCATCTCACGGAGAAAAGTATAAACAGTATTGCCAAAGCTTCAATGAAAATACAAAAAAACAATTCAATTATATAGTTCATAGAATAAATAACATAACAATAATTTTATTTCTATCAATTGGATATAGAATAATCTTATCTAATATTGTTAATTTCTCTACGTCTTCTTTCATTACGGCTGTGTCTCCTTCTCCAACAGCAGCCATCTCTGCACCTTCCTTTCAAACGTATAAAACACAGACGCTGTTGCACTCACATGAAATTGCCTTTAGTCTTGTTAGATCACACTGCGTGTAGTAAATAAATGTATTTGCAAGTTACCCTCCCATTACTTTGTACAATAAAACTGAAGCGTCCCTAATTGCGTATTCATTAAGGCAAAAGTACTAAATGAACAACAGCTGCTATCTTGCACTTTTGAAAGACGTCATTCTGAGTGCACACCGTTAGTAGATAAGCTTACTTGTTAATTTGCTGGTGATATCAAGTTTGCTTCCGTTTTTGCTCACGCAAACCTTTAGTTAATCAGGCTCTTAGAGCAGGGGTCACCAAATAAGTCTGGCATCTTTTCCAAGCCGTTATGTGGCGGGCCAGAACAAAATCAAACCAACCAATCAAAGTTGAGCAGGATGTTATTTGGCTGCTGTAAAGTTGGTTTGTTGTCATTCATCCACATATCGAGTACACAAATGAACGAAATGCTGTTTCTCAAGGCCCATGGTGCTCGTTACAAGATTACAATAATCAACTTACAGGACAAGACACAAACGTATTACTACACTAGTCAAGACAAAAAAAGGAACTTAGATATTAAGGTGGAGTGAACGTGGTTTAGCTGGAGCGTTGTAAAGTGCGTAGTTCAACACGTATCTGACTCTATACTAACATCAGCTGGTCAGAGGTCAGTAATAATGTGGTAATAATACATGTTAGTTACATTTATATGTAGTAACTTTAAATTAAATAGCTGCATTTCCTTACTTACCTACTACTTTGGATTGTTACAAATACTTTGATTTAAAAGTACCAAATAGTCAAACATTGAAAAAAATACATCTGTATCCTTTGAGGTGATGCATCGAGGAATCGAATCGAAACGTTGACCTGATAATCGTAATCAAATCAAATTGTGAGATCAGTGACGATGCACACCCCTACTCTTCATATATCAAGCTAGTTAAAGTTTTATTTGCTAGTCTGCCTAGCTCCTCACCGTTGTCACATTCAGCCTGTCGTGCAACCTGGTGCTTCTTCATACTTTTTTATTTGGCCAGAAATTTGGCCATTGGGTCTCTGCTTCTTTCATTTTATCAGCCCCCTCCTGTTACGCTGTACACCCACGACGGCAACCCCCAACATGGAGAAAACTCTGTTGTGAAGTTTGCAGATGACACCACCATCATCGGCCGGATTTCAAATAATGATGGGACTTATCATGAGACATATAAGGAGGAAATCAACACTCTTGCAGAGTGGACAACATACATGGACCTTTTCCCCTATGAGACTCCTAAATTCAAATAGTCTCTTGTAAAAGAGATTCTGAATCTCAATGGGACTTCCTGGTTAAATAATGGTTAAATAAAAAATTAAAGAAAATTCATCCTCAGCACTGCTTTATGCAGTTTAGCTTATTTCTCTTCTGTAGCATAAGAAAACTACAAACTGCATTTTGCTTTACAACCCTGTTGCAATATAACAATTACATTTTTACTTGTACCATTTTTTAATTATCTTTAAAATTATGAAGAATATCCTTCAATCATCTATGATAGCGTCTGATATATTATTTTGTAATGCACTTTCCAATAGTGCTGCATTAAGCGATGACTATAGGAACATGTAACAAAAGTAGGTGGAAAAAAAAGAAATTTCCATATTTGTACATTTGTGCCCTATTATGGAAAAAGAAGGCCAGCATTATAGGAAACAAAAAATACAGATTAACAATCAAGCTATTAGTCTTACATCGCCCTGTGGGTGCAAACTGTTTAATGAGCTGGTGTACTGTAGAAAAAGCAGTGTTTGGAACAGTATGCATTGTAAAACCATAGTCATTACTGTATCAAAGGATATGAGATGATTTTGAGTTGAAGTGTTCAGTTGTTGTGGGACCCTCTTGCCTAGTTCTTGCTCGCCTCTGGGTTACCAATTTAAAAAATCCTAGGATCACTCAGATGAGACTCAAGTCAAAGTGCACTCAAAAGGCATCAATATCACCATCAACAGAGACTATATAGGCTTCAGTATCCATAACATAAGTTGCAAGTTGCACCCTGTTTCCAACCAGGATAAATGCAGTGGTTTTTGTGTTTTAGAATACTCCACCACACTGTTGGTTTCAGAATATGAATATTACATTGATCTAAATACTGTACATACCAGCTTTACCTGCTGAGTTGACGTCAATCTCCTAACTAGATCCCTTTATAGACATGGAACACGTAACATTTCTGGCTCCAGCTATCTGCTACATTGATGGTGTTTTGTCATTCAAAAAGAGCTCTCAGTTACAAATGTGTTTGTTATGTCTGTTGATGGTACTGTTAGAGAAATACTCACACAATACATGGAACCTGGTGCACGAAAATGAGCCAAGAGCAGAGATTGATAATAATAATTGATTTTATTTTGTTAGTTTGACCTTGTGCTGTTCTGGTCTTTACAGTAATGTGACAGCAGTTAATTTAGACTTGCTGTGTTGGAAGCATCATCATTATTCAGACATGTGACCAACATGTAAAATTGCCATCACATTTATGTAGGACGGGATTATGCAAGCACAATAAGTCAGGACTGGTGTAGTAAATGTAGTATGGTCAATAGACATTTTTTGAATAAATGTAACTTTGAAATGTGTATAGTACTGAGTTTCAGAATGGATGAGGAGATTACTTTACAAATAAACATGGAATTCCATAAGGAATGAAGGTCAAGGTAAACTTTATTTCTCCACAAGGTGAAATCCATGTGGTCATACACATCTCAGTTAAAGCACAGAGGTACACTATACATGCATTAACAAATACACACACAAGACATTCTGGATAATGGTTTTAATATAAATACATTCTGAATATATAAAATCTGAATATGCAGTATTTCCAATATTCCATTTCTAAAAATATAGCACACACAATACAGATTGCTAGACTGCAGGAAGAGTTGACAGGTAATGTTAAAAGTTTTATTCAAATTTGCAACGGCTGGTTAGAATTTCAAAATAAAACATGCTTTATTAACATAACACCTAAAACTGTGAAACAGTCACAGTGTGGTTAAGTTTAGGCATCAAAACTTCTTGGTTAGTTTTAGGAAAAAGATCATGTTTTGGGTTCAAATAAGCACGATAGTTACATAACTTAAGTTACATAATTATGTTTCTGTCTCTGTATCCCTGATGATACAGTGATGGAGAATGATCTATAGTGCTGCTGAGCACTATAAGCTGAGCTGAACATCTGCTCTCAGTATTAATACACTGTCGCTTAAGACACTTTATACCTATAGTGTAAGCTCCTTTGTTACTTCACCTGCAGGAATAACAAAAATATATTGGATGTAGGCCTAACGTGGATTCCAAAGAATGTAGAGTTATGTGTTGTAGGTGCCTAAAATAGCTCCTTGTTTTATATTCCATGTTTATATTCCTGTAATAGCTTGTGATTTCATTGCCACTACTAAATGACCCATGGTCTACAGTAGGGCAAATTGTCATAAACACAGGATGTACAGCCGGGAATCCACACGCGCCTCTGTGCGACCCTGTCTAACAGAGCGGAATGACAGAGAGAGAGAGAGAGAGAGAGAGAGAGAGACAGATGGAGAAAGAAACAGAGAGAAGCGTAAGAGGGAGACGGAGAGGAGGAGGAGGAGGAGGAGGAGGAGAGCTATACGGACACACACAGGAGGAGAAAGCGTAATAATTCATGGGTGGGTGTCAAATTTGATCCAGCTCACTGGGCTTCTAATTTTGATTCAGCTGAAAAAAATAATAACACTATAGATGATTGGCTGAGCCGTCTGGCAGTCATGCCAATCCGGAATGGAGGCGGGTCTCTCTGTCCCCGTGTTTCAGGAGGGCACAGATCGAGCCCAGAGCAGTCTGAACAGCTGTCGTGCGCTCCGTCGCTTTTCATCTCAGCCATTTCACTTAACTGATTTATTCTGTAAGATGCCGAGCTTCCATGTTTTTCTTCGTCCTAGGATCGGGAATTAACCGAACACTGAGTTTGGGGAGTTCTTTTCGCTACACTATGTCTGTGAGTTGCGCCCTTCCTGCTGTCTGACCACAGCTGGAGCACGAGCGCTGTTCGCGGTGCTGAAAGCGTCAAGAGGCGCGAGGAGAGCAGAGGTTTCCGAGCCTCTGGAGAGATGAGGAGGCACAAGCTCTCTGTGGCGGGCTTTTTAGTCGCCTGGAAACTAGTCCTGTTTGTCAGGTAAGACCTGGCTGTACGTTCACCTGCATGACTGTGTTAACTGGAGATGGAGAGACAGATGCTGGGGGGAAAGAATGGACCTAAAAAGTTGCTTCTCTTACATCCTGCGCAGCCACAACACTGCACACTCTGGAGCCTTTTAACAGGTGGTTTGCATACTTTTATCTAGATATACTAGCATGAGAAAAATGATTTAGCCTACTGATTTCCCAAGACAAACTACTGTTTGTGTTGCAGGAGTTTCAGAGGCCTTGGCTTCAGATAACTGCCTGCTGTACACATTTACTCTCTGAGAGTAAAGCATAGCAGTAGCATAGATTTCCAAATACTCAGGAAACAGCATACATCTCTCCAGGCATGATTGTAAACCAGGGACACGCTGTTAGGAACCTGTCATTGGCACACAAGCTGCCTTGATAATAATAATGTGGTTAAAAAGGAGACAATCAACATGGCTGCCATTTTATTCACCATAACAGTAACCTGAAGAGTTGTTGGTGTAGTCTGCATTAGATAAATTGGTACATAAAACATGGAATTATCGCTTTTATTATTTTTATGTGTCACAAAATGTTTCCTTGCCCAACAACAAGTTTAGGCTTGTTTGTAACCACTGGGGTGTTCTGCAGGGCACTTTTAAAGTAAGTAGATGCCTCCCTTACAGAGACATTAAAAGCACAAAGTGCTTTTGTGATGGCAGATGACTGACCCCAGAAGGTCTTAGCAGTTAGCTAATCAAACACTGAGGTCTGTAACCAACAAACAGGGAGTAAAACATGTGATTATTTGCTCAAATTAAAGGCGGTTGGACTTTCCAGTGGTCCTTACTGCTTACCAAAGAACCAGTGGGCGGAACTGCTGTGACATCACGCGCATACCCTCTTTGTAACCAAAATCAAAAAGGCTACCAGCAACAGGCAATAAAATTTGAACATTTAGTTAAATGCAAGAATTTCCTAAACATTTTGTGGCGACAGTGTGTGAACCACCAGCTCAGCTAAGGTTACCTGGTATCCCAGCATTAAGCAACTAGCCGACCTCATGTGTTTGTGCGTGCTATCTGTCCAGGTGCAAGGTAGCAGAAAAATTGTGGTATGGAATATCATTGATTTGGGTATTCTCTCAATAAGCAAGCGGAACGGATTTTATAATGCGATTGATTTTATCTGTGGAAGACTGCAACATATATGTATTTTTGCCCACGTAGTTATTGTACTCTGACAACGCGTTTGCATTTAGGTTTGTGTTCAGTGCGGTCACAATGCATCCCTGACCATCTTCAGAGGTGGTTTGGCCGATGGGATCACAATCCGACCTCAATGGGTCTTGGGTGCATTTACACCTGTACTTCCATGTGGTCAAGAATTGCAATCCAATTACCCAAAACGCATTTTCATTCCAGGTGTAAGTGGCCTACTAGATTTTATGTTTCTGCATGTTTGTTGGAAGCCTGGGTTTATCAACATGGCATGCTTCCCAGAATCCTGTGACGCCTCCTCATCTCTGCAGTTCTTCATAGTCGAGACCATAGAGAGGTGGGTCAGTAATAGAGCCCGACTGATAAATCGGCGTGCTGATATTATTGGCCAATATGAGCTAATTGCAGATAAATTTGTGTCTGGGTTTATAACAGCTGATAAATGCCAATTGAAAATGAAAGAGATGAAAGACGGATCCTTCAGTCACGTTATAAGTGTTGTCTTGGATAGTTTGTCCACCAGAGGGCACTCTGCAAATCCCCTGTTAGCAAAACACCTTTCTGTAAGGCCACAAATCCACCACACAACACAGCAAACAGATGCGATAATCAGCTGTACTTTTGGTAGAAGTACTATTTATGACAATAAAGAGTTTATTTTTAAACTGCATTGGTCAGAGCCGTGAGCTCACGCAGTGAACGGGTTTTGGACTAGTCAGGATCAGCACTCAAACTCACTGAGGTATGTCCAGAAATCCAAATGTAATAATTCAATTTAAAACAAATCATAATCCAAGCAGGAATGGAAAATCCTAATTTGAAGAGGAGGGTCTGGGAGTCCTCCTCCAGAAAATCATATAATAATAAAAGACTTCATTTCTTGCATTCTAGTGAAAATTTATGCACCAATTTATGGTGGAAATTTCCTTCAGGCGGCAGGTGACAATTCTAGACCAAAAAAAAAACATATTTCTATTAAATATGTTTCTCCTGTAGATGAAGGTTTCTCATTTAATAAAATCTATTAATTTCATTGAATGAGTGAATTCATTTTATTTCAGTTAGAAACTCCTGTGTTTCTGTGTTTCAGCAGGATTTCTGCTCACATATATGATCTGTGTTCTTTGACATGTTGAAATAAAAGTCGCTATATTTTGAGACCAACATCATCATTTAAGGAGAATTCACAATATTTATTATTCCACCTGCCCTTTATTCTGCTGTGCATTACGTTATTGCTCCACTGATAATGTCCCCTATTGTCGGTTTGACTGACGCAGTTTGGGGCTGCATGTGAAACCGAAACTAAGTGAAACACTTGTGTATAAGCATTATTGGTCGCTTGAGGCATAAAGTCTTGTTATCGTAATGCTGTTAGCAGTAAAAATAAATAAATTCCAACTCCCATGTTGTACAGTTTAATTGCCCATAAAGATCAGCTGTTTGTCATAACAGTTGTTTATCAGAACAGACATATTTCTGTCCTCGCAGCAAAGACAAAACACAGCGCTGGAGAATAACTACATGACATTACAATCCAACTACATATTTTTTGTACCAGGGCAGTAAAAGTTTAGCTGGCTGATCTGAGTTTCCATGCTGTACGTTACTGTTTTATTGCCAATAATACTCATCAGCTGATTGTCTCACGAACCTGAGCGGCACATTTTTCTCTCCTCGTAGCAAAGACAAAACACAGCGCTGGAGAAAAACGTTACATGAAATTAAGCCAACTACATATTATACACAACTGACAAAAGAAACATGTTACTTCTCTCTGTGATCATGGCCAGCGTGTAGCTAAAGCTATTGTTTTCATTTGCATTGCTAAAGTTGGACTAACTTAATTACCTGTCGAGCAGAAAACAGGTAACTTCAGCGCCACTTTGGAAAAAAAGTGTCCCGCATCAGCGCCTTCCATCAAAATCCACAACTATATCCATCAATTCTGCTGTCGTCTGTCCTGACTTCATCTGGCTTCATTGTGTTTTCACTTCTTTGACGATGAAAATCCACAAGCTATCAGCTCGTGCCAAATAATACGTGTACTCCTCCATTTGTCCAAGTTTCACTTCTCTTCCTTTATTAGTTTCTGTAGGAATGTTTGCTGCATTTAACTTTGACTGCTTCAGTAGTTTTTAGGCTTTCTAAAAAAAAAAGGTAAAACATGCAAAAGTTTGAGCAAGCTTTAACATGAAAAGTAGCTGAAAAGATCAAAGCCACAGTAAATCTTCTTAGAGGGGATGGATGGATTCAAAGACAAAATTTTGCAGGCGGATTGTCTGTCATTCAGCTGGAGCTGGACTGGATCTGCCTCCAGCTTGTCATTTCTGCATAATACTCTCTTTTAAAAGTCTTTGTTTCTCCCTTTTTTCCCCCCATTCTGGTTGTTTTCCTTTCAGCTGTTTCATTGTTTGAATGCAGGAGGCATTATCTATGGTCACTGGTCATATCAGACCACAACAGTGGCTCGCAGCAATGTGTTACCTTAAGCTGATATGCATTCTGCAAATGTATGTTTGTGTGTACGTGCGCATGGCCGTAACCAGCTATGAGGTCACCGAGGTCTGTACCTCCATCATTATATGTAGGCTATAGCCTATCAATAAAAAAAGAAAATTGAATAAAAAACATTGATAACACTATTGAATTAAATGAAGGCTTTAGGACCATGGCTGCGCTGTGTAAAAGTTACGGAGCCTGAAAGGGGGTCCGATTTGATCTGTCTCTGAGCCTGTACCGTATCCGTCATGCCGGTGTTGTATTACACTTAAGGGTCTTTTTCTACGCCTTCTATGTGAAAGTGGTTGCTGGATTATGCAGCAAATGTATGAATGAGCGAATGCGGCATAATGGCGGATGAAAGCGACTACTGTGTTTGTGAGAGAGAAAGCACTGAGGGGAGGGGCTGAGCTATGGTGAAATGCGAGGTACCCATTTTAAATTAGCTAATGTTGATGTAACTTATGGTGTGACCGGAAAAAAAAAAAAACAGCCAACATCTTTTTTTTGCAATCAGTGGGAAAGGGTACAATCAGCATTGACTCCTGGCTCCAGCTCCAACTGGCAGTGATGCAACCCAGGTGTGCACCCTTTCACCCCTTGGCCCGACTCATTCATCTGGTTACTTTGTGTGTGAGGCTACATGGACAGAAATGTTTTCCTCTCATCAAGTTGAAGTTATTGCATTAGAAATAATAGTCCTCCCTCCAACCCTGCTCAATCGCTCTGTTTTGTTTTTCTTGTAGTGTGCTCTGTAGCAGTCAGAGCTCCCCCTGCTGTCCATAAAGTGCCAGCTGTTTCAAACCCCTGCTCCAGCTTTTTGGCCACGCCTCCTTATACAACCCCCAATCCTAAATGTGATATAGCAAAACCTTAATACCAAATTTCCATTCCTTACAGACAAATTATCAGTCCTAAATCCCAATCACCCAATCTTAACTCCTTAATGCCCAATTCTAAATCCCAAACGCCCAATCCTATATTCTAAATGTCAAATACCAAATGCTGAATCCCTACTGCCTAATCCTAAAAGCTGATTCCCATATACCAAGTGCCATTATTCTTTTCATTTTCAATTTGGACTTTTAGTTTGTATCTGACCCAAAATATCCTCCATATTATAGCAGGCATCCGTCACAATCTGAAATCTGAATAAGATGCAAGAAAATCTGTGCTAGTTGCCGCTGTTGTATTAATATATTTCCATTTAAAAAATAAGGAACAAGAGTTCACAATACCCATCCTATCAGACCAGGATTAAGTTTGTGTGTGTGAATGTGAGGATGTGTGTGTGCCTGTC